TGGAACACTCCCTTCTCCAAGATTTGTCTTGGAATGAAGATCGGCCAACAGAATAGGTTCATTGCTTTCAACAAGACTGCCAGCTCTCTGTACTCATTGATTGCTGACGGCAAATACCACAACACGTCACTGGGTCGTGATACGTGGAAGTCGCTGATTGGTTCACAGGCTTCCTTACAGACCAATTGTAACAGGGAAGGTTTCAATGTGGTAAGCGATTCCGGCGATGATTGGCCTAAAGCGAGGATTGGAATTCTTGGTAACAACCAAAATGACTGTTACACTTGTGATTCAGGAATCGGATTCGGTACGGGAGGTTACCCTGACAACGTCACTAGTTGTGGAAACGGCGCTGACGGCAAATTCACAGCAGAAGCTGCAAACATCGAAGCAATGGGATACATTTTGCTGCAATGAGACCAAGAACTAAAATTGGAGACAGAACTTTCTCAGTTCTTTCTCAGTATCAACAAGCCGCCTCTGGAATATGATGCCTACCCACATTAAGAGCCAACCTAATCTTATATGCTGCAAAAAAATCCATCTGTAAACATTTTATAGACGGTTATAATATGGACAGTTATAATGACCTACACCATTTTTAGTTATTATCGAAATTTTTAATTTTCTTGTTTTAATTGTTAGACTTAATCCAATGTTGTGATTTCTAATACTTTAGTGAGTCTTACATTTTAATTTTTTATATTATGGTTGTATATATGAGAATCTTTTTATATTATTTAATCATGATTAAAAGTTAAAACTTTTATTCATGGTTTGAGAGGCTTATAGTTTATCTTTTTATTCTGTAAATATTTACATGAGGGTCACTGGTTTTTCAGTGTATCTATTGTTCTGTGTTACCCTCTGCAAATAAAGTTTATTATTATTAATATTATTATTAATTGTGATGTAAATGACATTGCGAATTAAGCTTGAAACTAGATACTTAGACACTGCGAGTGTTGCGTGACGTATTGCATTACATTGTAATTCGTTGTGCTGTATATGTAGTGATGGTTCACTTTATTATATGAGCCTGCAATCCTCGTGGCTGCAGTTGGCCGCCATGTTTTTTGTAGTAAGAGGTTTGGTGATTAAAGCTTAATATTCTACAGGTAAACGTTTTCTCTTTATCCACACCATTAATATTATTATTATTATTATAATCATTATCATCATTATTATTATTATTATTATTATTAACTAAAAGATTGCAACAACGGGAAAGACAAAAATGAAACTGATACTGATTCACGATAAAAAATGTATCAAATAATATTAGAAAACATGTCCTAAGAAAATACGCGCGCTGATCGGTTAAAAATGGTGTTTCTATAACTCGATCGAAACACAGAACTAGCACGAGCTGTTGACGTAACGATGGCGCGAGCAAAGA